AAAAAAGTCACACTCATTTTTCTTAATAAATTTTACTAAAAAAAAAATTCAACTAACATCTCAAAAATTTGTTATGTGGTTTTTTTAAAAATAAACGTTAACAACATTATATTCACATTTTCTTTACCATTTTTCTACATCATTCTATTCACAATCACAACTAGTAAAATGAGTTCCACCTTAGTTATAGCATCATTCTCTTCACAATCACAACTAGTAATAAAATGAGTTTCACATTAGTTATAATAGGGTCATTCACAATACACATATGTTTTTGAAATATGTACCATATGTACGTTATAATATGAAAGTCATTATTCTCATTTTAGTTTACTCTAAATGCACCCGTTTCTTTGTCCTTATTATACATAGTTATTATTCACACTCTACTTTACTCCAAATACACTATCCTCTATGTATAATAAAGATAAAGAACGGAATGTATTTAGAGCAAAATAGAGTGAAAATAGCAGCTCTCTATGATATTTGTAGTGTTAATACTTGAAATGTTATAAGTAAGTCACTTTCAGACATAGCTAAAAAAGATATAATAGGTCATAACCAATATCACCTAAGTAAAACCAAAGACTTTTTCACTTATAACAAAAATAAATCATAATTAACATTATAGTGAGTTATAACTAAGGTTATAATCAAACATTACTTGATGCATAACTAAAGACTTTTTGGTTATAACCAAAATAAAAACCATAAAAGGTCACAATTAATATCACAATAAATCATAATCAAATTATAACCAAACACTACAATAGACCATGCTAAAAAATCACAAATGCCTTAACCAAGCATATTGTACACGCTCTAAAAAAACAAATGTATATCTAATGGTTGTAGTGATGCCACCACATAAAATGATATATATATATATATATGTATATACATTCATTGCCCCGATTCCTAAAAAAGATGGCAAAAGTGCTTGCAAAAAGGTTGAAGATGGTACTTCCTAAGATTATTAGTGAAGGTCAGACTGCATTTCTAGGTGGCAGATATATTCATGATGGAGTTTTAATAGTTAATGAGATAGATGAATGGATAGAGGAAATCTAAGAAGAAAGGTATAATCCTAAAATTGGACTTCCAAAAGGCCTATGACTCAGTCAATTGGGATTTTTTTATTGTCCATGATGTCTAATTTTGGATTCGGTCAGAAGTGGGTGAATTGGATGAAAACCTACATTTCAACAGCAAGGTTATCAGTGTTGATGAATGGATCACCTACAAATGAATTTACACCTGGAAAACGGATCAGACAAGGGGATTCACTGTCACCATTCCTCTTTAAAATAGTGGCAGAAGGTCTGAATTTGTTGTTGTCAAGGGAAAAAGAAAGGGGTTTGATAAAAAGGGCATTGGTAGGTAGCCAAGAGGTCAGTATTTCTCACATTCAACTTGCTGATGATACAATAATTCTTTGTGAGGCTGAATGGGAAATTCTTGCAATAAAGATGATTCTTAAGATGTTTTCAAGTATTATCAGGTTTAAAGATCAACTTTCATAAGAATGTTGTTTGTGGGATAGGGGTTGATGATGAGATGGTTAAGTATTTTGCCTCAAAGCTCAACTATGATTAGCAAAAACTTCCACTAAAATATTTAGGGTTACCTTTGGGAGCTAATCCTAGGAAGAATAAGACATGGCAACCTATTGTGGATAAGGTGAATGTGAACTTATCATCCTGGAAAAGGAAATTATTGTCCTTTGCTAGTAGAATGACTCTCATCAAGTCAGTTCTATAAAGCTTGCCTATCTACTCAGACATGAAGAATAAAGTCCATTTGGTGAAATTCAAGGATGTTGCCAAGTGTAAAGATCAAGGAGGGTTGGGGATAAGAAGAATTAAGGATCTAAATGAGAGTTTGTTATTAAAATGGTGGTGAAGATATGACTCTGAGAATGGTTCATTATGGAAGAGAGTTGTGGGGAGTAAGTATGGCCATGAAGGTAGGGGATGGAGCCCAGGTGTGGTGATCAATAGATCTATGTCTATTGTCTGGCAATATATATTATCAACTATTTTGGATAATTCTGATTTGCATACTTTTTTGTGTGAATAATTCTATAATTGTGACTGGGAATGGTGAGAGAGTGCAGTATTGGTGGGATAGATGGTTGATGAATGGGATTTTGAAGGAAGCTTTTCCTAGGCTCTTCAGATTATCTAAGAATAAAGATGACTCACTAAAGCTATTTTCTCGTATCAGAGAAGCAGTAGGGGAGTGCAGGTTCTTTTTCAAGAGGCCTTTAAGAGTCTGAGAAGAGGAGGAGGTCAGAAGACTTATTGAGGTATTGGCTGGGGCCCCAAACTTAAGGGACAAAATTGAGGATCATGTTCAGTGGTTAGCAGACTCTACTGGATCCTTTTCAATCTCCACTGTCAGGAGATGGTATGAGTTGGCTTATGGCTCAGCTATCAGTACTACTAAATTGTTGCAGGGCAACGATGTACCACCAAAAGTTAAATTCTCTGGTTGGATGGCCTGGAAGGGTAGAGTGAAAACTATAGCATACCTTCAGAGAGTGGGAATTCTGGATTCTAGTGTGAACAATGTGTGTCTATTCTGCCGTGAGGAAGACGAATCTGTTAATCACATCCTTCTATACTGCCCTTTGGTATGGAAGGTGTGGTATGAATTATTGGATTGGTGGAATTTGTCTTGGGCCATACTTTTATTGGATTGGTGGAATTTGTCTTGGGCTATACTTGGTTGTGTTGGTGGTCACTTGGAGTGGTGGTCGGGTATTTAAATAGGTTGGAAAGGATGTTATGGCAGTCTATTCCCTTTGCTCTCATGTGGTCTATATGGAAGGTAAGAAATGAGTGTTTGTTTCAGGGATCACAACTAGATTTCAAGGCACTAGGGGAGATGATTAAAATTAGAGTTGTTCTTTGGTTGAAATATAACACAGTAGGGGTCCCTTATTCTATTAATGATGTGGTCTTCAATCTTCAGCAAGTCATTCCTTGTTCAAGGCAGCAGGAAAGGATTAGAGGAATGGAATAACAAATGGTCTTTTGAAAGTGGTGCTTATTGGGATGGTGGTTTATGCCTAAGAGGTTTCATTAGATTGAGTTATTTGGCTAGTTGTTTACATTATTATTTTTTGTCTATTTTTCTGATCATTTGTGTTGGTTTCTCACGAATTTCATCCTTTTACACCCTCCCCCACTGCTTAAACCAAGTGGGATGGTTTTCTTCATAGCCGAACTACCACATGGCCGAAATAACACGGGCTATGTTGAGCCATAGAGAAGGCCGAACTATCCTTAGCTCGGTCTTCTCCTTTAACTCATTACTTCGGCTGCCCCTGTTCAACCTTGGTGTGCTTAGATCAGAATTCCAAGTAACAAGTTTTGACCGACCTAACCAGATTGTGTCACGACCGGACTAACTCTGAAACCGGTCTTACTCCGAGTTGTCTCTGGACCGGAGTAGCCTTACTCTTCCTTGGGCCGAAGCAATTATCTCTTCTTGAGCCGGAATAAACTTACCTCCTTGGGCCGAAGTAACTTTGTCTCCCCAAGGCTGGAGTAACCTTGCCCTCTAGGCCGGAGTATTCAGTACGGCCTTTTTACGTAGTCCTTCGCGTTTTGGGCCTCAATGCCCAACTCTCAGCTCGGCCCAATTTTTCCCAAAAATTACCCTCTCAGGTTGGAAAGGATGTTGTGGCAGTCTATTCCCTTTGCTCTCATGTGGTCTATATGGAAGGTAAGAAATGAATGTTTGTTTCAGGGATCACAACTAGATTTCAAGGCACTAGGGGAGATGATTAAAATTAGAGTTGTTCTTTGGTTGAAATATAACACAGTAGGGGTCCCTTATTCTATTAATGATGTGGTCTTCAATCTTCAGCAAGTCATTCCTTGTTCAAGGCAGCAGGGAAGGATTAGAGGAATGGAATAACAAATGGTCTTTTGAAAGTGGTGCTTATTGGGATGGTGGTTTATGCCTAAGAGGTTTCATTAGTTTGAGTTATTTGGCTAGTTGTTTACATTATTATTTTTTTGTCTATTTTTCTGATCATTTGTGTTGGTTTCTCACCAATTTCATGACTTGAGTTAACACATAATTGAGTGTCCTTTTTGGTGCCAACCTAGTTGGAATTAGGTTGGGATACTATGATGTTGCTTTGCTCTTGTCTTCTCTTTATTGATGTATGTCCATATGTCATGTATGTTTTTATCATTAATAAAGTTTCTTTTTTGTCGATAAAAATATATATATATATATATATATATGCTACCCTACAAGTAGGCTCTATTATACAAATCTATATGGGGGAATAACACACAACTGATGTGCCAGAAAAAATATTACAAAAAAAAAAGTGATAAATTTTATAAATATTAATAGTTAAAAATCATAATTTTTTTTAATATTATGTAATAATTTTTCGAAAGACCTCATGAATAGTAATTTCCCAAATTCATATTGAGGGTTGATTTGAAAATTAGGTTTTTAGTGCTTTATTTTTTTATATATTTTTTACAAAAAAAAAAATGTACAAAAAAAAAAAAATAGATTAATTTTTTGTACATGTTAGGTTTGTGAAGGTTCACCACAGGTTTTGTTTTAATAATTCGAAACGTTGAATATATAGAATTCGTTGAGTATTTCATCTCTAAAAAAATTCACATTGATCGAATATCGAAAGTCACTTGATCAAATCATATTTTTGTCAACAATAAATATAATTTATTTGATAAAAATCTAATTTGATTAAGTAATTATCAATATTCGATCAATATAATTTTTATAAAAATAAAATATTCAACAAACTCTGGATATTCAACGATTTAAATTACAACACGGTCCTAAACTGGAGAGAATCTGATTCGATCCCATATAATTGGTTGAAACTAAAAGCAAAAGACGTGCAGGTCCAGTATCCGAGAATTGCTGATGGGGCATAGCATGATTGGACGACAAGAAAGGGAGCACTATGTATCGTAAAAGTATATTTATGGAATTATTACCTCGAACTGTAAAAGCCAGTTGCGTGCTCCAGCGCCGAATCCTCTGTGGAGATGATAAGCGGGCAAACTCCCATCCAAGCAATCTACGAATATTCATTCACCCCACAACAAAATTAAACAACTTCAAATTAATATATGTCCACAACATAATTATAATTAATTAATAAAAAATAAATAAATGTTAAATTGTTATCTCCATTGAAGAAGACTTACAAGCTTCCAGAACCGAAGTGTTTTGAACCAGAGTCATTTTCACCAGAAGCTGCTCCTCCGAGTAAATACACCACGGCGCGTACGCCAAAACCAACAGCAACCCCAACTCAATTTTTCTTCTATTCATCATTTTCGTTTCAAATTTCTAATTTTGTGGAGAAGTGCCAAAAGAAGTCAGAAAAGATGTACTCTAAATGTCGTCCATTGGTTGGATTTCGAAAATAACGCTTTTACCAAAACTAACTTTTAAGGTTTATTTTATTTTATTTTTCTATAAAAATTTAAGCAGCTTGATGAACGTGTTTGGATGATGTAAAAATTAGTATTTTGTTGACAATATTTTCAGAATTATGTTGAAAACTGAAGTTCAATGGGTGTTTTACCAAAATAATATAGAATTTAATGGAGAGAATGAATGAAAAAGCAGTGAATTCTTAAAAAATGTAAAGGTTTTTTTTCAGAAACAATTGACGAAATATTGAAAAGATTGAAATCCGGAAACGACCGTAATAAGAGATGAAAGAGAAAGATGTTTGGTTAGAGAGAGAGGGAGAGAGTTTAATTGTATAAACAGAGACAATAGGAAGAAATTGTAGCAGAGTGTGTTCAGAGAGGGAGAGAGATTGAGTGGGGAAGGAAGAAGAACTCGAGAAGATAAAAAGAAGGGAAGGTGTGGAGAGAGAGAGAGAGAGTTGTTTTGTTTCTGAGGATGATTATGGGGGAGTTAAAGAGGGTGAGATAGATATAGCCGCAAAGCCAACCAGAGGATGGGACCCAATTTGTGAAGATGGGCTGGAGTTTGGCCGAGATGACGATGATGCCGACGACAGGTGGACCATTGGTTTGATCAAGCTGATGTGAGTTCTCAACTTAAGAGCTGGAATGGAACTAACCTCAATTCTGTTTGGTGTGTTAAAATGTACCTTAAAATTTTATGGATTAAATAATTTAGGGTTTAACTTTTTTCAAGTTTATCATTTTAATTTGAGAGAACGTTTAGGGTGTGTTTAGTAACGTTTACGTTTTCAGTTTATATTTACAAAAATTTTATAAATTGATTTTTGTTTATTTTTAGAAAAATATAAACTATAAACGCGTTTGGTAATTGACAAATGTTTACAAAATTTAAAAAATATAAAAAAGAGTGAAAAATGACAAGTAGTGGCAAGTGGCGGTGAAAGACGGTGGTGGCAAGTGACGGCGAATATTTCATAAAAAGTCAAAAAGTGCACTTATTTAGTCTTCCCAAACTAGGCCTTAATAAGCACATTTTGAGTCTGATTTTGATAATTTAAATCGTTCACTTTTCAAAACTCATCGGATAGAATATTCATGTAAAAATTAAAGATGACTGGATAACGATATACGTTTGAATTAAATTTGTATTACAAAAAAATGAATGGATATTTTTTAAATTTTATTGCCGTCTATTTTTAAAAACAAATATGATTCAAATAAATAGTTACTGATGTCTAATCAACTTTATTTTTTACATGAATATTTTACTTAATAAATCTTAAAAATTGAACACTTCGATTTTCTGAAACCAATCCTAAAATAAGATTACCATACCAAAACGTTCTCTCAAATTGTGATGAGAACTTGAAAGAAGTCAAGCCCAATAATTATAGAGAAAATTGGTAAAAAATTCATCTTAAAGAGTGTATGTAAGGCATTAGATTCAAGAGAAAATCTTATTTGCTAATAAGGACATGCTGGAAAAGTCGCTATCGACGATAGCACCCAACGACAGTAGGTTGTGGTGATGAAGCAGAAAAATATGTGATATTCAACAAATATGTTGTTGAATACGTGACATGTATCATATTTTAACAAATAAGTTATTTGGTGAATTTAGCAGATAAAAAAATAGGCTTAGTGAATTTCAATCGATATACAAATTGAGTGATTTTAAGAGATAAATAAATATATTCACTGTGTTTGGTTTGAGTTTTCTGAATTAAGTTTTTTGAAAATTGACTTTTTTGGTTTTTGTGTTTTTTTTGTTTTTAGTGAATATTTTTAAAATTTTAAACATTTCTTTTTACTTTTTTAGATGCACCTTACTTAGATGTATCTAAAAAGTAAAAAATTTGTGAAAAAATATTTTAAAAAATTAATAAATACATAAAAATATAAAAAATGTACTGAATTCTTGTATTTTTTTTTATATTTTTGGTATTTAGTGATTTTTTAAAAGATTTTTTTTATATTTTTTTTACTTTTTAGGTGTATTTATGTTAGGTGTGTCTAAAAAGTAAAAAAATTGCTTAAAATATTAAAAAAATTCACCAAAAATAAAAAAATACAAAAAATAAGAAAATAGAATTTTCTGAAAAGTGTTTTGAAAAACTGAAAACCAAGCAAGGTGATTGATTTCAACAAGTAGTGTTCTTTTGGTCAAATTAAGTGATTACAAGAGATAAAAAAATAAACCTATGGACTGAATACCCATTATTTAAATCCTTACTTTCTCTCCCTTTTTATGTGTGACCAGAAAAAAAAAATAATAATATACATAATTTTAAAATTTTCAATTTGATCTACAATACGTAATATATTATGTGCAAATTTTTTTATTTAGCACAAATGCTATCATATAAAGTTAACTTGTCTGTCATGTCGTTGTTAGCAGTAAATTGAGAAACTAAAATTATAGGTATATAATATTTTAATATATATATATATATATTTATTACAATAATAAAAAAAATGAATGGATATTTTTTAAATTTTATTGTCGTCCATTTTTTAAAACAAATATGATTCAAATAAATAGTTACTGATGTCTAATCAATTTTATTTTTTGCATGAATATTTTACTTAATAAATCTTAAAAATTGAACACTTCGATTTTCTGAAACCAATCCTAAGGCCTCGTTTGGGGACTTACCTTTTTAGCCAATTAGCTAAAAAGTTACTAAATTAGCTAAAAAGTCAACAACTCATACCAAAAAGTCAAAGATTCTCTTTTCTCTCTACTTTTTGCACATCTTTTCGTAATTAGCCAAAAAGTCATCCCAAACATACAAGTTTTTTTTACCTACCTTTTTAGCCAAATAGCCAAAAAGTTACTAAATTAGCCTGTTCCCAAACGAGGCCTAAAATAAGATTGCCATACCAAAACGTTCTCTCAAATTGTGATGAGAACTTTAAATAAGTCAAGCCCAATAATTATAGAGAAAATTGGTAAAAAGTTCATCTTAAGGAGTGTATGTAAGGCATTAGATTCAAGAGAAAATCTTATTTGCTGATAAGGACATGCTGGAAAAGTCGCTATTGACGATAGCACCCAACGACAGTAGGTTGTGGTGATGAAGTAGAAAAATATGTGATATTCAACAAATATGGTGTTGAATACGTGACATGTATCATATTTTAAAAATAAGTTGTTTGGTGAATTTTAGCAGATAAAAAAATAGGCTTAGTGAATTTCAATCGATATACAAATTGAGTAATTTCAAGAGATAAATAAATATATTCACTGTGTTTGGTTTGAGTTTTCTGGATTAAGTTTTTTGAAAATTGACTTTTTTAGTTTTTGTGTTTTTTTGTTTTTAGTGAATATTTTTTAAATGTTAAATTTTTTTTTTTACTTTTTTAGATGCACCTTACTTAGATGTATCTAAAAAGTAAAAAATTTGTGAAAAAATTAATAAATACATAAAAATATAAAAAATGTACTGAATTCTTGTATTTTTTTTTGTATTTTTGGTATTTAGTGATTTTTTAAAAGATTTTTTTTACAATTTTTTTACTTTTTAGGTGTATTTATGTTAGGTGTGTTTAAAAAGTAAAAAAATTGCTTAAAATATTAAAAAAAATTCAGTAAAAACAAAAAAACACAAAAAATAAGAAAATAAAATTTTCTGAAAAGTGTTTTGAAAGACTAAAAACCAAGCAAGGTGATTGATTTCAACAAATAGTGTTCTTTTGGTCAAATTAAGTGATTACAAGAGATAAAAAAATAAACCTATGGACTGAATACCCATTATTTAAATCCTTTTGAATTACTCTCTCCCTTTTTATGTGTGACCAGAAAAAAAAAAAAATATACATAATTTTAAAATTTTCAATTTGATCTACAATACGTAATATATTATGTGTAAATTTTTTTATTTAGCACAACAACACTGCTACAGACCCCACTAGGGGTCGACCCAGTGACGTGGCACAGCGCCATTCGCCAAAATTTTTTTCTTTTTCTTTCCTATCAATCACCCACAACCACATGGGTTGAGAGTCGTTGTTAGCAGTAAATTGAGAAACTAAAATTATAGGTATATAATATTTTAATATATTAGCTTGGGCTATTTTAACCTGGTTTGGGAAGGACTTTTTAACTTTTTAACTTTTTTGACTTTTTTTGTGAGAGAGGATTGTAATGATTATGAGTTGAATTTGATGTTTTGTTTTTTGTGGTTAAAATAGCCTATTTTATTTTTTATGACTATTTTAACCAAAAAAGTCTGGATTTTTTCTTGCCAAACGGAGGCTAAGTGGTTACACTAACTACTTAATCATTGACGATCAGTAATTGTGGTTGGTAAGCTGTTTCAATTGAAAAAAAAAAATTCCCGTGATTGGTGGGAGTTTTATTTATTTATATTTTTTTTTTGAAGTTGGGACTAACGACATGAATTCTTGGCCATAAAAAAAGATTTATGAATATGAAGTAACAATATTGCATATAGGGCCCGTTTGGTAGAAATGTGAGAAAGTGATTATAATTTATAACTTAATAGTTTATACCTTATAACTGTGAACATAAGTTGATTTTTGACTTTTAAATTAAGTTTCTCCTCCCCACTCAAAGAATAAGTTGATTTTTGACTTACAAAAAGTTATAAGCTGTATTGTTAAGTTGAACCAAACACATCAAAATAGTTTAAATTAAGCTAAAAAATGAAATAAGCTGGAAATAAACCCTACCAAACAGAGCCATAGTCACAAAAACAAGAGCTGTGAGAAAGTGATTATAATTTATAACCTAATAGCTTATACCTTATAATTGTGAACATAAGCTGATTTTTTATTTTTAAATTAAGTTTCTCCTCCCCCATTCAAAGAATAAGTTGATTTTTGACTTACAAAAAGTTATAAACTGTATTGTTAAATTAAACCAAACACATCAAAATAGTTTAAATTAAGCTAAAAGCTGAAATAAGCTGGAAATAAGCCCTACCAAACAGAGCCATAGTCACAAAAACAAAATGTGGATCATATTGTAAGGAAGAGAGGGTTCTTTTCATTTCACAAAACCAACACAGTATTGGTGGGCTCTTGTGAGCCCATTATTGAGGTTACCTTAGTGGTGGAGTCAAAAATTTAAAATAGAAGGGACACACATTAATTACGACATTAAATTTTTTTTTCTCTCTATAACAAGTAATAATGAGATATTATTCAATATATATACTTTCTTATTTATTTTTGGTCCATCGGTAGGATATAATATTACAATTATCATGAGATTTATATCAATGTAACTTACAAATTCATAATTAGCAACTAAATTCTATTAACCCAACAATAAGAACAAATAGACAACTATATTTATAATTAATAAGTTCAATACTATCAACTCAATTAATTAAAAGAAATAACCAACTAAACAAATTCTATAATGAAAATTAAATTATCAATTAATTCAATTCTTATTTTGACATGGTAGCACAAAAATGAAAAAGAGAATATAATAGAACATTTTAAAATTTTA